ACATGCCGGAGCTTCACTCCGGCGGCCAGTTCCCTCAGCAGCAATGGGAGACTGGTTCACGATGATGAAGCAGCACTGCCCACATCTAAGTAGCTCTCTGATCTCTTTTGCTCTAGCTCCCCGGTTACTTTACATTCCCGTCTCTGAAACAACTGCGCCCCTCAGAGGAAAAAGCGGTCATTCAAAGGGCTTAATTTCGCCGGAAATGCCCTCAGATTGCCGAGGATTTTACTGCTCGGCCCGTTCAGTCTTAATCGAGTTTTAATCGGTCTCCCGACCGATTTGCCCTCACCCTTGGAATGGCGGGGTTGCCCTCTGGATGACGTGTTTTGAGTTACCCGTGTTCATTACGACCTAGTACCGGTGGTCTTGTTTGCCGCGCGATGATGGGAGGGCTCGTGGCATGGAAATTGCTACTGAGCTTCCCAAATTCCACACCCGGGGCTGCATACAGTGTCACTCCGGAGCCCCTCGTCGAGTTCACGTAATTATCTGCTATAGTGTAGCCCGGAATCCGTGGCAGCCCCCGTCGTAGCTTGTGAATCGCGCTCCTCCAGGTTCCTCTCTTTTACTATCTCTGAATTATGTCGACTATTTCTGGCGACTATCATAGCTGTTGTTTGTGCTTTCTGGAGCACCATATCACCACATCAGCCACCGACGTTCCAAAAATTTCGCCCCCCTTCCAGCTTCACGCTACGCTGCTCAAATCAGACTAGTACTCAGTTCGTATTCTTGAAAGCCTCATATTAATATGTTCTACTGACACACATATATTTCCTCTCGTCGAATTCGGGCTACTCCATATTTTCCGCTCTTGTTATCACAAGACAAGAAAAGGGCCGGTAATCTCGGTTCAGTTCATGTCTTTGACGAAGTCGATGAGCTCTTTCTAGCCCATATGCTCCTTAATTCCCCGAGCAGTCTCTTCACAGTGAAATCGCTCGCGATATTTTGCTGCCGGTTCCCAGCCGCCAACATTCCTGGTTGCCTATGAACGATATCAAGTCGCACGAGCTTTTGCCTATTCGGGTGACCATCTTTATAAACAGGCATTTCTCCTGGCCGAATCAATTCCAGCAAGATCTCTTCCCGAATGTTCGCTCAGCATAAGGCGAATCGAGAAAGTTTCTAACAATCCAACCGCGCCAGTGGGTGTAATATGGGATTGGCACCAATCGCGTTCGGCACACTTTGAGTAACTGCGCCGGAGACATCTCTTGGAGAGTCAATGTTAGCTGATTTCGCACCTCGGATTTCTTCTCGTCAACGTGGGTGTTGACGCGAAGGACTTTGAAAAGCGTCGAATCTTCTCTCACGTTGGATCGCTTCAAGTTCTTCGATGCGACTACAGAGAGCCTCACCCCCGAGGCTATGAGCGAATTATTGATACGTGGCACAATTCGATCCCCATCACTGTGCTCTCTTTCAACATCCCACCCTCAGCGTTGGCTACATTACTGTGGGCCCTCCCAACGTCGTTCTGAAATGCCCGCATGAAAATTCACGCATCCCTGTTCGGATGGGTTTTCGCTCCCGGGGGCATCAGAAATAATAATGAAAGTGAGTTTTTCTTCTTGCTTCCTGCCCACCGTCGTTAGCAAGTTCGTCCTTCCACTAAGGTTGATCGTTAGACAGCGGTCTCAGGTCTGTGTCAACATCGCAAAATCTCCCCTGGCTTGCTTCGTCCTGCTTCGTCGTCGCCGCAGTGCTCGTCGTTCGGTTTATTCCGAGAATTACTTTATTTCCGATAGCCGGCTGTACTGCAATTCAATTGCTCTGTGGTCTGGAAAACTAAGGAGGATAGTAATCGCTGCTCCGAATTTAATCACTACCAAGGTATTTACTCACGATTCCCCCTTCCGCTGCCCCAAACCCCCTTGCAAAAAAACATATACATTCGGTTGCACACGCTAAAATCCGTAGCATAGCAAAACTCTGACTCGTGCTCCACTCAGTTTTGAATATCAAGGATTTCCTTTGGAGTGGTGGCCCGAGATGCCCGAAGTGGGTTGAAACATCTGAATACTGAGAGAAGGCAGAAAATAGACTGTCACTCGTGTCGGAGCTCAGACGAGGCCGCTTTTCGGTATGTGCGGACTTTGAATATCAAATGATCAGTCTCCGCGCTTGTTGACTGAGGGCTCTGACAGGCACAGCCAAGGCACAGCTCTTGCACGCGATATTAGGTCTCTTCATGACCACCAACACCCCTACAGCCGAGAGAAGAAAGCTTGTCGTCGTGGGTACAGGCGAACTTATATTCTGCGCAGGCGTGGTCCCACCGCTATCGAGGCTATAGTATGCTGCCCACTTCGTCTCTTTCTTTCTGCAGGCCCGGGTTCGAATTCGGGGCGGGCCTCGGTACTCCTGGGTTTGATTCGTTTTGTTCTTTTCGTGGCGTTACGATTTTTTTGGTCCATCTCGGCCCATTCGACTTCTGCTCGCTTTTCCTCTGTGTCCGATTTTCTTTCATTTTGATGTGGTCACCCGTCTTTTGGCTGCATTTGAGAGTTGCCGAATCACCAAGCTAACGGCAACGCGAGCGCACACACCGACCGAACGATGAATTGCAATTAGATTACAGCAACAGTAATAATGTACAGCCATATTACTAATTCAGGATCCGTATTACAAGTACCCACACCGCGCTATATATCCCGAACCATGACCGTATTACTTCCTTGAACCGAGTATACGCCATCCTCCCATACAGAGAGACCATTCATGAGCACGTCGCTTGAGAAGGTACTTGCCAAGCTCCGTCGCGAGGGTGGCTTGCGGCCAGGCAGAGCGTGTATATACGCACTGGATGGCGAGAAGTGAGTTCTGCATGCCCATTCTATAAGCCCCAGAGCCAGTAACTAGGAACGCGGACGCAATGACCAGGAACGGCCAGCCGATGATGACGGGATTGTTGCGAGACGTGCTAGTGTCCGAATCTGCCCACAATTGACCACGACACCAACAGGTCAATGCCCGAGATGGCATCGGAGTAGGTTCCGAGCCGCCCAAATCGCCAAGGTGTGAGTTCGCGCTCAAGATGATTGCTTTTTGTTGCATATTGATACCCGTATCTCAGCAAAAATTCGAGGCTTACCATTGGTGGTTCATCCAACTTGCGAGTGATGAGGGAAGAGGACAAAATGGAGTGACGAGTCTCGGACTTTGAAATTTGATCTAGATCAGCCATTATTTCTTCGGGCCGACATCAGTTCAACTATAAATATCATTTGGAGGGAGCTGCTTCGGTTCCATGCTGTTAACAACGACCTGTTGGCACAGTTGGTAGTGTGCCCGCTGAAATATGCCCAGGCTAAAATGAGTCTTGGCAGGAGTCCCCAGTTCAACTCTGGGACAGGTCATATCCATTTTCCGTGTATTTCTTTTTTACTTTGTGCTTTTCTTCTCAGTGCATATAAACGTTCATGAGAAAAACACCTTCTATTTGGTGCTTCAACTCGCAAACATAACGCGTATGTGCGCATCCTCAATCTTCTGCGCGAGGGTCGGATTTGGTTTACTTTAAGGTGTCAACTCTCTCTCATTCGTTCGTCCATCCATCTGCACTGCACCGCGGGGGACCTATTTCTGCAAACTGAAACTGTGTCGGAATCCTATAAATATTTTTGTTGTCCTCGCCATTCACTCATTCAATTTGATCGATCTGTTCCATAAAGTTCCACCATCGGAATATTTCAAACTCGGAGGACTCGCTTTGGCTCCGGGATGGGTGATTCTCTTTCAAAATTTATTTCCGGCCTAAATTCACTTTGTCAAATGCCTCAATGCCCAGCCTGTAGTCGATTTCAATTAAGATAACAGAAGGACCTGTTGGCGTACTCGGCAACGCGCCCACAATAAATAACTCACTGCGTTCCGAGGCTCTGTCGGCAAGATATGCCGGACAAAGGCTGACGTGTGCCGACATGGGTCAGCACCGCTGCCGATGCGATCGGCACGCAGTGCTGACCTAGGTCGGCACACGTCAGCATTGTCGGCACCGTGCTGACCCATGTCGGCACACGTCAGCCTTTGTCCGGCATATCTTGCCGGGCACGAGATATAGAATCGGAAACTGATTGGGGGGCCAAAAGTTTCTGTTTGAGGTGTTTTGTAGAGGTGAAATTCGCGTGATAGCGGCGCGAGCCTCAAACATAATAACACAATTAGGTTAAATCAGAAATCTGTTTCGGTGAATTCGACGCGCTGAGGCTTCGGAATCTCTCCAATGAGGGATGAGATGTCTGAGGTAGGGCGAGGAGGGGTGGGAGACAGCACGTACGAAGGGGAATCAGAAATCGGGGAAGAACAAACCGGACAAGGGCTTACAAAATATTGGCCATGGGGAGGGATGACGAAATGTAAACGCTACAACTTCAAGCTCGGCATACAAATAAATAAATAAACGCGACGCGCGAAATAAATAAAAGACACGACACGACACGTGAATTCTCCCTTGCAAAAAAACCAGCCAGCCAGCCAGCCAGCAACGAAGAAATTAAAAATAAAACGACTCAGGCTCAACCAACTGCTCCCTCGTCCGCATCGTGGATTATGTATGTATCTGGGATGGGTCATTCATATGTTGTCTGGAAGCATTTTCGTTCCGGGTTTGAATTCAAAGTCCAGCCTATATTCAGGTTCCAGGAAAATCGTATTGGTGCAGATGGCAGCGCACCCACAATAAACTGATTGTTCCTAGTGAGGTTATGTGGGAGGCCCCAGTTCGACTCCGGGCTGGGGTCGAACCACATGTCGTGTTTTTTGTCCCTTGTTCAGAACCGTCCACTAGATATCGTAGCTCAATTCACATACCAGGAAGACCTGTTGGCGCACTCCGCAACAAACTTCATATTTGGTCGAAGAATTACATATGTGGAAGACCCCAGATTCGATTCCAGCCTGGGCAATTTTTTTTTCGGGGGGGGGGGGTCATTTCATTTTCATGTAAATCCAAAGCTATGTATACTATTGCAGTTTAGTTATGATACCAGAACGATCTGTTGGCGCACGCGGTAGCGCACCCACAGTAACTTTGATGTCTTGGCAGAAGTTACATATGTGCGAGACCCCAGTTCGACTCTGGGATGGATCATAATATTTCTTCATAATTCTGTTTTTGTTCCCCGCCGTTTCATTTTAATTCAGAAAGGGAGCACTTGGGCGGGACGATGCAGAAGCCTTCTCTGAGACGTCCCGGGCGTTAAACCTGACTTGCGGGATGTGACCCACCGCACACCATCATCGTCCGCTGCAGCACTGGGCCGAACTAAGATTGTTGAGTTTCTCCTCGAGCGGGGTGGTTTGGACGTCAATTCTTGCGATCATTCCGAACGCACTCCCCTTTCCTACGCCGCGGAAAACAGATGTTTTGCCGTGGCCGTGCTTTTGCTAAAGGACTCGAAGACCCGTCCTGATTTGGCCACGAAGTTCGGTGAACGCACCCCGTTGTCGTACGCGGCAGCACAAGGCCGACGGGAGGTTGTCGAAAGTCTCCTCCAGATGAGTGTCGATGTCAATTCCAAGGACTGTGTTGGACGCACCCCTCTCACATATGCGGCTGGGTGGACGTCGTCGCCTTGATACTCAGGCTGAGACGCTCCGATGTGAATCCCAACACTGAATGTAAGGATGGTCGGACACCACTTTCGTATGCAGCTCAGTCCGCACATATTGTGGTGGTGGAGGTTCTCTTACAGTGCCCAGTTGCCCAGCTTGACTTGGCGGATAAACGAAGTCCTCAGGCTTAGGACGGTGGACGTACATCATTGTCGTTCGCGGCGGAACAGGGCCGACGCGAGGTTGTGGAACATCCTCTCCAGAAGGGCGTCGATATCAACTCTCGGGACGGTGATGGGCACACCCGCTCTCGCACGCGGCCTGCAAAAACAATCGGTGGAAATTGCCGCACTGCTAAAACGTTTCGATGTATTCCAACTCTCAAGCGAAGATGGTCGGACACCACTTTCGTATGCAGCTCAATCCGGACACTCTGCCGTCGTGAATGTTCTCCTCATGTTCCAGCACATTCTCCCGGACTTGGCGGATGAACCAGGTACAAGCATGAACACTCTTCTGGATGATCTCAGGAACAAGGCGCAAGGTGGACGCACTCCGTTGTCGTATGCCGCACAAGGGGGTCACGTCGATGTTATCAAACTTCTGTTGCGGAGTCGTGTGTGGACGTTAAAACTCGAGACACCGCATTGGACACACCACTATCATATGCGGCTGAAGGAATCGAGCAGCTGTTTGTGCCATGTGGACTCGTAACCAGTCTGTAACCAAAAGTTGCCGAAATATGTGGCAATCGACTCGAACCAGTCGTTACTTTAAATTGATCAAGACAATCGTTTGATCAAAGATGTAGCGACTGGAACAATTTAACCGTAACCGAGTACGGTCGGAGATTGCCGAGGATAATAAAATATCTTAGCCAAAATTTCGACGACTCCAGGACCAAGTTCCTCGTTCCACAAATCTAAAGAGGCAGTTTTGTAGTGCCTCAAATTCTAAGGCTCGTGATGTTTTGAATTTCCGAGTAAATTAAATTTGAACGCGTAAAATTCGGTTTTAACTTTTAGGGGCTACACAACGAGGCCTTCGATTTCCACATCCTCTGGGCCTACCATGCCATTTTCACGCACCCGCGAGGACTCTGATGTCGACTACGCCCCTCCTGCGTCGAAACGCCGCAAGAAGGCGCCGCCTATCATCACTGAGAGGGCAGTCAGCATGCCGCCCAGCTCCCCTGGCCCTCCAGTTCACACTCACGACAGCCCCGAACCTGTGACACCAGAGGCGGAACCACTCCTACCACTACCTCCTCTTCCTGCTCTTTTCCCGGACCCCTATGGTTCTCCGCTGCGTGCAAGCACGACAAATTTCCCACAAACACCTCACCGTGGGCAATCTATTGAGCCGCCAGCTTCATCCCCGATGTCGGTCATGAATTTGACCCCCGTGAAGCCCAAGCCCGTGAAGCGAAGGCCAGGTCGACCCCAGCATTCTCCGGAGACCCACATACTCCACTCGACACTTCGGCATCTCCGTGGGTCAGGGCAGTCGACACCGGCGCAGCAAGAGGAGTTCCGTCGTGCAAGCGAAACTCTGCAGCGTAAACGTGCTGCGAGTGCTGAGCGCAGAACTGCAGCCCTCAAGAAGAGGTTGAGGCTGCGGAGCGTGTTGCCAAAGAGGAAGAGGAGAAAGCGGCGGCCGAAAAGTTGCCCTACATGCACAAAAGACTCGCGATGCCCAGCAAGTCCTCGCAGACGTTACCGCCTCAACCGAGGACGGGGGCTACAACTTCAAGGACCTAGATGAATTCTTTTCAGCAATTTTTCGCACTGGCGGGGATTACCAAGCGTCAGCAAATCTGACCCGCTATGTCCACAGCCATGGAGCGCAACACGCCAAAGCCATGTTTGCACGTTCAGCACCGGCGCGAGACGAGTATATCGACGGCGAGCTGGCCGAGATTTTCCAGAAAGAAGGCCGCGCTATTCAGGATATCCTGACACGCAACTCTACGACCACAGTGACCGACCTCTTGAAACAATTCTCCATGGACAAGCTGGCGGCGCAGATTCAAGAAGCGGCTCCAAAGCTATGGATGGCCTTAGTGGTGGTAACTATGCCGGACGAGTCGACACGTCGAGAGATCAGCGGCGAGCCTCGGAGGAACAAGGGCCTGGTACCAAGGGCCACCAATTCGCGAAAAATCTACCTGGGGTCGGTTTTTTTTTTCCAGGGGCTCGGTGACCCCCCCCTCCACGTGCCATCAAATTCCCTTATTGGGATAGTCCAAAATATTTTTTTCTCCGCTGCGCTTGATTTTTCATGTGCGGGGTGACTGAAGTATTCATCCTACATATGCAGGCATGGTACTTGTGAATTTCAGAGAGGAACCAGATACTTTTAGGAATATACTGGATACATTGATGAGCCATCAAGCACGTGATTTGATTTGAGTGGCTGTACATGCCAATCATTAACCGCCGGGGAATTTGGAAACACTTTCAGGTGACGGTAGACACCCTCAAGAAGAGCGAAAATGTCCGCAATCAATTGTCGAGATTATCCTACAGCTGTAAAATGGATAAATACCACTTGGGAGCCTCAAGGAGATACCAAATGTGAAATATGTAAAAGGGTATATAATTTTTTTTTTTACTCTGAGGGAGCCCCCCCCCCCAGGTATAAGTGGCAATTTCTTATCTTAGCAGCCCCTTGCCTGGTACGTTATCATTCCGTGCACTCACATTGACATGTCTGACCATCCGGCGACAGGTTTTCACAACGATCTGCGCCCTTATTAGCATACTGCGCTCACAGCAAGCCAATAACTTCCAGCTCGTCATCGGCCTATTTCTCCTAGGCTCCGGGGCGTCAAAGCGAGAAATGGAGGTCCTTGCGCATGCTGGATTGTCGATATCCTATGGAAGCATCACTAACCATGTCAAGAAGCTGTCGAAGGAGGGATTGGCGAACATCCGGGAGCTGGTGAAGACATGCATGGTTCAGATTGTGTGGGACAACCTAAACATTGCATTCCGCATCGCTTCCGAGCGCCTTGACTCAAAGAATCATTTTGATAACGGGACAACGGCGACTGTCATACCCACCTTCGATCCGACAACGGGAGGAAGGGTGCCCCACGGGACTATTCCCCTTTCGATGAAGCCGCCGCGTGAGCAGACACTCCCCGTCCTCGACTGGTCCGAGGAGGATGTGCTCCCTTCGCCCGAGAATGCCGAGCAGCTCTCGACGAGCTGTTACTGGCTTTTTCAAAGTCTTGCACTGGACCATATTGCTGGCCTGAAACGACTCAGGCAGGATTTCCGCGAGTGCCTGTAGTCACCAGATCCCGCTTCACAAAACGGAAACAGCTGCCGCTGCCAGCGATGCACGATGAGGAGTCGACTCTAGAGGGCTCGTTCACAGTCTACTATAAGATCTTGAAGACTATGGGCATGGGAGACGCAGAGCTGGAGGCCCACGGCCTCATGTTCGATGACGGGGATCTCTTGACGGATTCTCTGAAAGAAAAGGTACCAGTGTCCTCGAAAATCTGATCCAGCTCTTCACTTATGAACCGGCCCCTAGATGGAATCCTGCCAGAAGGAACAGTGACCACTCCGTTGGCTGGACTGCGAGCGAGTGTGCGGCGTTGGGGCTTGTCCATGGGAAAATGGCCGGTGGCCGGCTCACAGTTAACGAGCATTGGGGAACACCAAATTCGCTCTGGCCAGGCGGGCTCTGGTGGGAGCATAACAAGCTTCTGAAGCGCAAGCCCCTCTCAGCCGGCTGGTCTGCGAAGAAGGCGACGCCGTGGGAGCCAGCTCACGAGCTAATTACAATCTCTCTTCCAGCGCATATTGTTGACGGATTCCGAATTCACTGCCGCCATGAGGATCTTGCAGTGTGGGCAGAGACGGCGACCATGGACGAGTTCAATAGAGGTCTCCAAGCTAGTATTTGACAATCTGTTCTCCACGGCGGCGGTGGACAGTTGCGGGCGTGTCCCGATTCGGAGCGTGACATCACACTCGAGAACGCGATCCTCTACAACCGCGACGCACTCTTTTATCTGGAATTCGTCTGGGCCATCAAGAAGGGCGACATCGGGCGTGTCTTGAACGTTCTCGGGATATGGATGGTCATGATGAGAACACCCAAGACAATGCCTCGCTACGCTGATGCCATGTTCGAGACACTTGTGCGGCTGAAGAAGTTCCCTCCAAAGCTTCGGTACGCCGTGAATCGCATCAAGCATATGAGTGCTAATGAATTTACAGAGAGCTCTTCCTTGCCAACTGGCTTGTTAATCTAACCGGACGAGAATTCGGCTTCAAGCCCGTGGATTTGCTGCAAGAGCACCAGAACTTCTGGGCGAAGATTATCTACAATGCGAAGGGTACTAACAAGAGCTGGAGTGGCTCTCAATGATCACCGTCTGTATCTTCACCCTACGGGATGCCATGAGGACCGTCCAGACCGCCTTCGAGATCCCTGCGTACGGCGACAAGCACAAAACCCCCGATGTTGCTATGGAAGTCACTGAGCTGGCCAACGGTCTCTGCAAGGAGAAGATCC